AATCAAAGCGGAAATACGAGTGTGAGGCAGAGGAAACACGGAAGTATGAACGAAGTATTGAACGCGTAGGAATCTAATTTTCAAATTTGTGTTTTTGGTTTTCAAGCTTTGTTTCCCAAACTTTTCAAACATCTAAATCTGGGTGTACTTTTTCAAGCTGTTTTTCCAAACACGTTTCAAACTTCCAGATCCGGGCGTATTCTTTTTCTTTCTTCAAGCTTTCAAATCCGAGCGTACGTTACTCGAGCTTTTTTTCAGACTTTGAAAATTTCAAATAGGGGCGTACTTCTTTCGACCTGTTCTCAAACTTTCTTAATTTTTTGAACTTCCGAATATGGGGGTACCGGTTTCAAACTTTTTTGAACATTTCCCCAACTTTTCCAAACTTCGTTCAAATTTGCAAGTCTGGGCGTACTAGCATCACGCATTCCAATTTTCTTTTCGAACTTCATATTCAGGCGTATTTCTTCTTTAGACTTTTCTTTTTTTGTCAAAATTTGTTCAGACTTCCGCATCTTGGCGTACTTTTCAAAACTTTTCTGATTTTTTTCCGAACTTCCAGATCCGGGCGTACCTGTTCTAATTTTTGAATCAGGGCAAACTCACACTCATGCTTCGCCCGATTCGCGATTTCACATTTTTCCCGTACTTATTTCAAATCTTGCGTCAAACCAAGATTTCAATAGTTTGCGTGCTCCGGGGCTGCACCATTGATTTATGACGATAAGAGGAAGGGAGCAAGCCCTTCACCGGCTTAGGAGAAAAAGAAAGGCGGAGTTGGAATCGGAGGTGGAGGAGGCGCAAGGAGTGAGGGACTGAGGACACAAGGATGGAGGGATGGAGGGAAAGAACGAGGGAGGAGGGAGGAGGGAGAGGGTGAGGGGGCAGGGCGGGGCGGAGTGATGCGGGGAGGAAGGGAGCGATAGAAGAAAGGATGGACGGATGGATGGAGGACCTCCCAGCGAGGTGTCATATTGAGGCTGCGGGCACAGCCTCTTAAGCAGGGAGCTGATGGGAGCGATGGAAGGATGGAGGGATAGAGGGAGGGAGAAGGGATTTTTGGATTGCAAAGCTGTTGAAGCCGATGGCCCAGCGGAGTGCGGCGCTGCAGCTAGCAGAGTATTAGAAACAAGTAAATCGTCCTGCACGGGTACCAGGAAGCAAGTACAGTACAGTACGATGGGACCCCGCGACAGAGCGGACGGAACGCGTCGAACCGAAGCAAGGTGTTCAGACACCCCCAACCCTCACATGAATTCCCACCCTCCACAACAGGCAACTGGACGGAAGACGCTGCAGCGGCAACCGATGGCTTGCTGTGACCGTCCAGGGCACTAGGGAGGAGGGGTGGAGGGAGGAAGTGTAAGAGTTGAAGCGAACGAGAGGGAGGAGAATGCTGGGACGCAGGCCGAAAGCCTCCTGCTCGCGTGACGCTGGCCCCTCTGGGCACAGAGGCTGGAGGTGCAGGGACATGCAGAGGACCGCGCGAGGCTCCCGAGACCTGACCCACAGCCCCCCCCCTCTCTCCACAGTAGGCGGCGGCAGACGGATCAAGGCATACAATGCTCGCGTGCCGTGCCCTGCCCGGGTACTGGAGGAGAGGGGGAGGGAGGGAGTGATAATCCTTCGAGCTGGACTGGGGAGAAAGAGCGAAGCTGCTACCATTCCAGTCTGGTGCCGGCTGCAGCTGCCATACTTTCAACAAACGTGGCATCCACATCAATTGAGGGGGACCGAGGTGGAGGCGGAGGTGCAGGAACATGTCCTGGACGCACCCACCTACGCACATGCATCCGAAACATCTTTTCGCTCACTCTGCCGTCTAATGTCTCTCGGCGAAGGGTATGATGCGTAGCTACTGGGACGCGGTGTATCTGAACATACTTCCACTGCAACCTCATTCCCAACTCCACTACTTCGCAGGGGAACTCTTGCGCGCAATCACGGCATCCGACATCACGCTTCTCACGGTCCGACGTGTTGGGATCGACAGGAACAGGTTCTGCGACGGCCACTGGGAGCACTGCAGAAGCGGTCGCAACTCCGGAGCAGCGCCAGCGCCAGGAGAGACCAGGGCTGGTGTGAAGACGTTCATCTGAAGCTCCGAGGCATCGGTTGCGGCCTCGGTCGCCATCTCCAGCGACGTCTGCGGGGTGGGGCCCGTAGGCAGTCTCGCCACCTCTCCCGGGCCCCGGCAGGGGACGCTGGGGAGGAGCAGCTTGCCCACCACCGCGTCGCGACCAGCGTGAGGCTCAGCTGTGGCAGCACTTCCTCTGGACATGGCGTCAGCCGCGGTAGCACTCTGGCTGTCGGCCATGGTCATGAGCGCGGCCACAGCGGCAGCACGCGCCAGACTGGCAAACTCATCGTCAGCCTCGCCAGCAGAAGCGTCGGCGGCACCACGCGTCGAGGAGCACGGGGCCGTACCTGGCGGCGGCGGCGGCACGCTTCGAGCCGGGAGTGGGGGCGGCGCCTGGGGACAGCGTGAAGAGCAAGCCCA